AAGAAAATACCTTTTCCTTGCTGATTTTACTAGAATATGAAAAAAAAAAAAATTAAATGTTTTTTTTTTTTACAATAAACTGAACCAAAATAAAATGTGTCGAGAAAAAAAAAAAGTGTTTATTCAGTTTCCAATTTTACCTTTTAATCTCAAAATGTAGATGACTAAGACCACGACGACCACAACAAGGACAACGATGACAGTGACACATGTTGCGATGATTGAGGTACCTTTAACGAATGATTGATATGCATAATTAATATGAGCAAGTGTAGTTATTAATACATAGCACTTCATGTTTTATAATGAAATAACTAACCAAAAAATATTATTAAATGCCATTGTTACTTGTAACTTACATGTTCCACTAGGATTTGATTGATTCTCAGTAATACTCGTACCGGGTCCTGTGACAAAAATATAGGGTTTCTCAGTGTTAGTTGAGGACATAAACATAATTGCTCGTTCCAAAATATTAAAAGCAGCAATAGATATTGTCCGACAAAAAAATTCAAAATAAAGCATGTATTGTTTGAAAGACGTAGAGGAATGAAACATACAGACTGTAACGCTATAATTGGCAGACATTGCGGACTAGCCTCAGTATACTCACGAGAAGGCGTTGTAGCCGCGTACGTTTTAATCTTCGGTGGAGTTGACGTTACGTTCCTGTGTACACTTAACGTTATGATGCTTCCGGATACAAATGATGTGCTTGCCGTGGTTGAAGTCTGGAGAGGTCTTGTAGTTGGTGCTGAAATTGTTACAAAAAATAAATATTTAAAAAATAAAAATAAAATATGATGAAAATGACTAGAACAGTAGAAATGAATGGCGCAAATGAACACAATACTAGCACTTTTTGATTATGAATTGAAATGATTTAGTAACTCGTTTTTTTCCCTTCAGGATAATCTTCACTAGAGCACTATACTTACTGAAAAACTTGAACTTTAAATTGTCCTAAATCTAGACACATAGATAATATAAAACACCAAGGTATTTTCTGACTCCTTTGTAACCCCCAAGTCAAGAAAGTGCACACATTGGTTAGGACTACTACGATTACATGTAATTCTATTGATTCGTATTGAAGATTGGTGCTCCATGTGTTGCACTCTGTGCCATATGCTGATTGGTGTCATTGATGTTCACGTGTGTGAATTTGAATCAAGCCTGGCCCTTTGACAGATCAACAACAAAACTAACTCTTCCTGCATAAGGAGTTGAATTAATAGCTTTATCTAACTGCATTACATCTGCTATATTGTAGTTCATAAGTCCTTGCGCGACAACCATACTTACGTAGCATTTTCACCTGCAACTGCATAACTTCATATTTGAAGTCTGATGCTCCCTGTGTGAAGATCTGTGCCATGTACTGATTGGTATCGGTGATGTTCAGGTTTTTAATCTTGAACCAAGCCTGACCCTTTGAAAGATTACCAACAAAACTGACTCTTCCTGCGTAACTTGTTGAATTGATCTTTTTATCTAACTGAATTCCATCTGCTATATTGTAGTTGATAAGTCCTTGTTTCAGGTTGTTAGTGTTGCCATCTCGTATTCCCCAGTAGAATGCATTTATGTTGGTAGCATTATACATGAACACTACATTTTGTCCAACCCTTCTGGTTAGTAGACCAGAGCTGGATATGGGCACTTTTAAAGAGCGTAAAAAAGATAGTTAATTGACCATTAAGAAGAAACAAAACGCGCAAATGTAATAATAAAAATATCCTTATATTGTCAATTTTAAAAAAACATGATTTAGTATACAATAGAAAATGTATGTATGTCTAAACATATCAAATTCATCAAAAAACCTTCTGTACATTTACTTACAGTTAAACTGAATAAGAAAACCGTGAACACCTAAAATTTGTCTCTAATGTTAAACATCGTATTCTGATCAATTACATGCGACAGTTAATTAAAAAATGAGTCCATTGTTGCATGTGATTGGTTACATTACAATGTTTAACATTCCAGATATATTTTAGGTGTTCATGGTTTTCTTAGTCTGACTGTACTCCTGTTGATTCACCATTTTCCATACATCGATTCACTGGTCAAACCCAAAGCGCTCAAACGATCGAGACGCCAAAAATTTTTCAAAGGATTAGTCGAATTTGAACCTTGCAACCTCGACTGAGTCCTTTGTTTTTCACTAGTGAACCGATGTATGGAAAATGATGAATAGCATTATTTTTATATTAGTGGGCTTCCTGCGGATAAAATATACTTAAGCAGAGAATATAACTTCCGTTGAAACATGCCAATCATCAATTTAGTGCCCTCGTATTTGTGTAACTTAGTTTCTTTCTGTTTTGGGGGATTTAGATACATATACCTAGTGATGTTATCGATGAAGTAAATACCTAATTATATTTAATAATCTTCTCATTTTCCATCACCTTTAAATCAAAGTATGAACTGCACTTAATGAAGACATATCTCTTCAACTTACCAATAGGCGGAAATAACTGTAGAAACAGAGCTACACAGCTTAATGAAATTGCATACATGTTTTGTGAAACGGAATATCTCGATTAAGGTTGACTTGTGATCGAGTTTATATCAGGCGATACGTGGATGAATTGCGCACATACTATTCAGATTCGTCTGCTTTTGGGTACTCTTTGTTTAATATTCTATCGTGTAACCTTTTCTAGAGGTTAAAACTTATGTAAATGCTATTTTGCGTGACGTGCTGCAGCCAAAGTGATAGTCACATCATGTTCCTACTGAAATCATGTAACGGAATGGAATGATACATATACGTTTTAAAAAGTGCTATATATTGCGTTTGAGTAAAATAAGCGGTAAGAAGAGACTAAGTCAAGGTATATTGTATAAAGTTGCGTGATCCCCAACATCGATAAAAATAAAAAAAACAAGGGGATATACTAATAAAATGGGTCTAGATTTAATCCTTAAGCTTGTTTCAGATCGGCTTTGTTCTTCTTTCTCATGAGTTCTACAAATGCTGGTCAAAGGATAGCATAAGGCAGTCAGGCTTTGACCTTGTTTATTGATCTTAGCTCAAGTAGTTTTATGGCCTGTATAATCAACAAGGGCTGTTGTAAACCGAAAATACCTATGACATGCTTAAATTAGATCCGATAGTTTTTTTAATCATATAGTTATATATTTATTATTTTCATTATTATTTCAAACACAAACATAACAAACAACATTACAAATAACACTAATACTAAATATAAGATTAGATCAAACATATAATACTAATAATAGATCAAACATAGATCAAACATATATCCAACTGCTTCAACACCATTTACTTTGTATTTATCATACCTGTTACTATCAGCTGTGTTGTGCTTCTTGGGTTCTGACCCGTATTTAAAACCAGCAAACACGAATATTTCCCATTATCGTTGGTGCTCACATTTAAGATGACCAGAGTAGCAACAGATTCCTTTGCTGAGTCGATGTCTCAGTCTTCCTGGACATGATGGTGATACAGACTATGTCCATTCAAATCTTCCACTTACAAAGCCATAGGCTTCAGCAGCAATTTTACTCTTGTTAATGCTGTTTGTATAAAACCATTCTGGTGACGTTGTAAAAAACTCACTGTCTCGGTCATCAACATGGTAATCCCAGACAAACTTTGCAGTTCCGCCACTAGGCACATACAAGATAGATGGTGGAACTTGAGTAAATCTCACAGCTCCTTCCATCTAAAGTAAATTAAGGCATTTCAAAACAGGCATTCCAATGTATATTTTATTTATTCTTCAGCTAGAGCGCACCACTACTTTTGATTTAATAATGCTTCGAAAAGAGAATCGATTCTTGTGGAAAAGAAAAGAAAGAAGAAAAAAAACGAGATATCTTTATTAATGACGCTCGGCAAATTTTTATTGAATTATGAGATCGAGTTGCACATATAGGCAGTTTGTTACAGCTAATGAGATTTATACGCTGTTTGTCACTGTCCGGTAATTGCTAAATAATTGCACCCAATATCAGTTTGGATTGAATAATTCATGTATTACATTTTGGTTTGTGGCTTGTAAAAGAAATACAAGAAGTGGATGTTACTAACCGATAAGCGGAAGCATTCCAATGGTGATTCCCAACAAACACAAGAAGAACTCATGAACAAACATTTGGAAACAGATCTGAACAGCTCTTGTTTTGTACTTGAGATAATTGTAAATACGCGCTGAAGCTCTCTCTTTCCTTTTTCTACTTTGCATATAATATTGTGTTTATATATTTCGATTTGCAAATCATCAATGTCATCAATGTTAACCTCCTTGCCCTTTTAATATGGTTTATTTGTCACATGAATATGAATGGCTTCAGCTGTGTGACAAAATGGCGGTATATAAAACCATGGATCTTTTGCTTCTTATGCAAGATTGTCATCGAATGTCTTTCCAAAAAGACCTAAGAATATTGTCATTTTTACTGCCTGTGCTTTACAAGATGCGAGACGTTTTGGAAAGCCCTAGAAATTTAGCTTTGCTATCGTAGAAAACATTGAATATAAAGGATATAAAGTGACACTTTATTGCGCATGCTCAGGCAGATGTCACAGAAAATAAAGAGGTCTTTAATCAATACCTAAGGGTAGGTAACGTTTGCACTACTAGTAAATATAGCCACAGAAAACTGAAATATATGACATGAATAGGGAATAATTAACATCATTCCTTTATTCAGAATATGTAATATTTACAGTCCTATGACTAAACTTTCTTGCTGATTGGCTCATCCCGACGCGCATAGACCGAATAGGATCCAGGTTGATAATTAATTCACAGTTAATAGATGCCGCATATGTTATCTAATACGCATTGAGCGTGCATACGGCGAAGATTTCTCACCGACTGATAGAGAACAATCTATAATTCATGTTAACTTACCCGTTATCCTTTTCGGTAGAGGCGCGTAGAGATAATCCGATCAACGACTACGTTTAGCCAAAGGACTGTATATAGAAAGTGTATGTCCATACAGTTGGCAACTTCTTCAACTTTTAATAACTATTAAACAAAACCAACTGGATATAAAATTGATGGTGGTACGTGATAGCGTGCTGCAACAATTTTAATATTAAAACTCAATAACATTTGATTATTTTGTGGCTTATGAGAAAGTATTCAGCCTGCATAGTTAATGCATCACACTTTACTCTCGCTATCCTTATAACGCTTCAATGACTGGTATTCTCTTCCTGATGCACTCTGTTGCAGGTGTTCGTATGTTTTAGGATCTTCTGGAGCCAGCTCTCCTTTGCTACCAAATTCCCCGCGTTGCTTGAGAGGCTCATACAGTGGGGTTGAATGTGTTGCCTTTATTTGAAGGTCTTGGTAATGTTGTGGCAATGGAGGTACGTCACCTTGGACGCCGACAGATGGTCCAGGCGTGGGTTTCACATTTGCTTTTATCGCAGCTGTGTCTTTATTTCTATTTTCTTTTATCGTTTCATAAATTTCTTTTTCATTTGAAGCTCGAGCTGTTTTTGTTGTCGTTCTTTGTGAGGTGTCTTCCATTTGATGGACATTCTAAACATTTCAATGTTTTTGTCATTTTACAAAGGCTGCTAATGCGTTGCCTTTCAACAATGCAGATGGCTTCGATTCTAGAGATCTTTGTCATATAGGTATATAATATATACTTTTGGTTCTCAATGTGATTCTAGGGTTTTCTCGGGGTTGTCTGTTTTTCCTCCTTAATCTTAATTCAGTATAACGATGTTGCACTCCCCCTCCCCGCTGTCCCATTCGAAAACATACGCACAATAGCATTAAAACTGGGGTTTTGGTTGGAGCGTTCATTGGGCTCAAATTCAGAGGGCAGCCTTTCAAGCATATCTATGCGCAGGCATAATATCTATGGTTACCTCATAACTTTCAAGGTCCTTGTCTTTTACGCTTGACGACCTTCTGCAGTAACGACACGAATGCAAACAATGAAAAAGTTAATATACAAGACTGAATGGAAAAATAAACACAAAAACAAGCAAACTTTAAAAAGTAAAGAAGCAAACAGTACCTGCTTTCTGCTCCTTTTTCTACAACAAATAAAACAATGAATTTATATGAATTTCTCTCACCACCATTTTTAAAATTTGAATCAAACTAGTTATATGTTTAAATCTGATTTGTGGACTAACCGGCATGTGATCTTCCTCTCCAAATATAGAAAAGCAGAACCACTACAACTAGAATTAGGAATATGATGATAGTTGTACATGCTGCGATGATTGACGTGCCTATTAATATAAAAACATCAAGATAGAAGGACATAGGCAGATTAGTCGGTCACGTTTTTGTTAATGTCAGTTCAAAATGGCCCCCAATCGACACAACGCAATTGATAAGGTCTCGTATATATTAAAAGGTATAAAAGTAACCAATACGCTTGTATTGTTTTAGATACGGGACTCGTACTATGTACATCCTGATTGCATGTGTTTTCAATAGTGTGGTATAGAAAGTAGGTAATATTTCATTGATAGTCACCATTATTTAATTTTTACTTACATGTGCAAGCAGAACTTGATTGATTCTTGGGGAAATTCGTGCTGGGTTCTGAAATATGTAATACTTAATTTATTCAGTACAAATGTACAATAGGACGCCTTTTTCTTCAGCCACTACATTCAACCAATCAGTCATCACCCAGTCACTCAGTCATCCTCCTTTCAAACCTACCATTAGAGCATTCTAAGGAACCAGGTACTATCTTGAATCTTCCAAGTCTATTGTCTTTCACTGCATCTTTAAGTGGAGCACATATTTCATCTGGTTTTATAGTGTTCTTGAAGAAAACAACGAACTTCACAGGAATAATATTGTCACTTTTAAGAAATAAACCAAAAGTACAGTTAATCATCACTGGACATACCGATTGATAAAACTTCGTGGAAAGCATAAAGCAAGGAGAATTGAAGATGGTCCCTCAACACATCTCTCGTTATAACCCCCTTTATGGTAATGTCTAATACCTGAGACTTGTGACATTGGCTTCCTCAAAGTTATCGATATTTCGATAGATAATGTTAATCTATGAAATAGAAAATGAATATCATATGATTTTTTTATTATTTTGGCCTCTAAAATATGGCTCCTACATAATAGAATTGACAGTTGTTTTCGAAAATCGTGAAATATAAAGAAGCAGTATGTTTTCTAATATATTGTACAGTCCGTTTCTCTGGCTATGAAAATCTAGCGTCCGGCCAACAACGAAGTCCTCAAGTATTAACTGCTGCTCCCTTTATTTTAACATTAACATTTCTTATATAGAGCTGGTGATGTAATCCCAATTTTCACGTGCATATCTATTTTTCTCTACTCCATGCTCAACAGCGTGCATTTATCTATTGAATCCCTTATTCCTTACTTGATGCTTAACTTCGTAACAATATTTTGATGAAATTTCCCGAGATTAAATACTCTCTCTCTCTCTCTCTCTCTCTCTCTCTCTCTCTCTCTCTCTCTCATTTTTTTCTTCCTGGTTCTTGAGTCTTTTCCAATTTCCTTTTCGGTTTCCTTATATTACTGAGTGTTCATGGTTTATATTTGAATATGACCAGTACCAAAATATCACTTGTAGCTCTGCCAACTGGTGCTAATTATTCAACACGACTCACCTCAGAAACAAAGATTTCGCTAAAGGTTTTGAAAGCATCAGAGTTGGCATCACTGACATTTCCAGACATTTTCTTCACAATTTTGATTGATATGCTTCTGTTTGAAATTTCTATAAAGAGTCAAGGTAAATAGCAACGAAAGTCACATGCTGTAGCAACTGGAATTCCTTACGGTTACATTGCTTATCTGAGCACTGAAAGCGACTATAAAAAGGTTACTCTAAGAAGGATGATAAAAACTGGCTGGAAGAGAAAAAAAGGTAGTTATGGTGAACAAACGTTTGCACTCAAATACCAAAATAATACTGATGTTGAAAGGATAATTGGGACTCCACCACTACGGGAGTTCTCATATGTTCGATATTTAAAATATATCGCACACATATGTAGACGGCCGAACTCCAATCTTACGAAAAAATACTTTTCATCAAACCAACCAAGAAATATGTCAGAGATCCATGGACAAAGATCGAAAAACTATTAAACATTGATAAAGATCAGGCCAGAAGATTAACACAAGACAGAAAAGCCTTCAAAGGAATTCTTAAGAACTTTAATCTAGAATAAATTAGAGTCCCCATTGCTCAGCTAATTACTGTTAAGAATGGAACAGAAATGACACTGATACTGATACTCACGAGGCACTTGCGTTGTTGGCCGAAGAGAGGTTTTTGAGCTTGAAGCTGTAGTGCTGAGTCCTTTTGTTGATGTCTGTAGAGGTATTGTGGTAGCAGGTACAACTACAGAAAAAATCAACAATAATAACTTGCTAGGAAAGAAGGAAGGAAGGAAAGAAGGAAGGAAGGAAGGAAAAGTCACTTGGTTTCTGGCACCCAAGTGTAACTTTTCTTCATTTTTTTATCGTTCTGGCTTTTTAGGAACTAAAACCCTTTTTTCTTGTTATTATTTGTTTACTGTAACTGTACAATTTTCATTAAAAATAAAATAAAGAACAAATACCTGTTTGTATTACATTTAGTCTTGTAGCACTACTGAATCTGTAACTTGATTCTCCCTGCAGGATTACCCTTGCCATGTACTGATTGGTATCATTAATGTTCAGATTTGTTATCTTAAACCAAGCCTGACCCTTTGTCAGTTCACCTACAAAACTGACTCTTCCTGCGTAAGTAGTTGAATTGATCTTGGTGTCTGGAAATGCACCACCAGGGTTAAATACACGGTAAAGTCTTGGATTCAGGTCTGCATTTGTATCACCATCTCGTACTCCCCAAGTGGCTTCTGACATTACTGTACTATTAATCATGAACACCACATCTTGTCCCACTTCTCTTGTGAGTTTAGTAGGACTGGATATAAGTACTAGACATATAGTAAACAATGGATCATGGTGGTGAATACTGACTGGCTGAAACTAAATTAACCTAAAATATGGTTGCATCGATGGAAATATAAGTTGTTATTAAATATAAATAGCTTCTAATATAAGATTGCATTATGGGTGTTATGGGACATAAATAGAAATATCTTAGTCAGGTTGATTCACCTGTAACGAACAATTCTACTTTTGAAGATATGTACAATCCAGAAGTCAACGTAAGACCGCACTCATATATCCTGCTATCGGTAATGGTGACGTTCGAGATGACCAGAGTAGCCGTCGATTCCTTACGGAGTCGGCCTTTCAGCCTATCAGGACATGTTGGTGCAATAGACCATTTCCATTTAGGGGTACTCCACTTATACTCATGTGCGACCTGTATTTTGGTTGTATTTCTGTAGTAGTACCAAGCAGGCGCGTAACTACCAAATTCAGTGTTCCTGTTGCTAACATTGTAGTCCCACACCATCCTAGCGTCATGACCACTCACCACATACAGCACGCTAGGTGGCATCTTAGTAAATGGTGATTGCATTCCTCCTGGTATTTTTTTAATAGTATAGGGCGGTAATTAGCTATATAGCATCGCTTTTAAGAAACCAAAGAACTAAGAACTAGCTAAACAAAGGTATAGTCGAGAAAGCACGAATGGGTTACCAATTCCCCAAACGACTTCTGTTATTTTGTACTGGCATCAATTAAACAGTCAGCATCCTTAAAAGCTTAGTTGGTTATTTGCGTTTGATTTTACGTAACAAAAACTTAAGCATAGAAACTTAAACAACCGGCAATAGTTAGGAGTTAACAGTACAACAGAAAATATGTCAAATACGATATATACTAATAACTATTATCACCTACTCGTGTTCCCCTGTCGTGCAACTTCTTGTTTATTTGCATGTACGGTATTGATATTAGATATAAAAAGCCGTACTTCTCAATCGTCTCAGTCTTGTTCTTGGTGCAGGACACAAAAATAGTATATGCCTTGTATATTTTGACTTCGACTAATATGGAAGCTCTAGATACGTCTCTTTTAATATTATGCTTCGATTTTAGTTCTTTTATATTAAGTGGGCTTCCTGTGGATAAAATATTATTATACAACAAACAACACAAATGATGAAGCGCGACGAGCACCGATACACCTTTTGTAGAATATTTCATGATTGTTGGTTTTAGTCAGTAAGATCAGATCGAGACAACCTATGCCATCAATTATGTGAATACAATAATATTATCAATTATTTATCTTTCTATAATCTACGAATTCCTACTCAAACTAATCATAATATAAACTGCATTCAATAATCAATATATATTCAACTTACCAACAGGCGGAAGTAACTGTAGAATCACTGCTGCTAGACAGCTCAATAAAATGACATACATCTTCTTTGCTTGCAATTATTTGTATGAATATTAACTCTTGAAAACCTCTGGAATATCAGTTAGGCGATACGTGAACCGTTTTACACTGATCGATAAGTAAATCTATTCACGCTCGTCTGCTTTTGGCTGCTGTGTGTTTGATGTTCAGTAGAGTGACCTTTCTTGAGGTTAAAACTGCTGTATACTTGCGTGACGTGCTGCAGTTTACATTTGACATTTTGTCCGTCACGATCCCCTTTAAGACTAAAATTATATTTTGGTTTGGTTAGAAATATTGGTAAAAAGAAATGACTTATATCCTGAAAAATAATGACATTGTATAATCAATTGAACATATGTGTTCCCCATTACACATGGTTAAAAAAGAAATAAATAGACTTATTTCATGATCCCTTGTTTCAGATCTGCCTCGCCTTTCTTCTTTACACGCTTATCATGTGGAAGCATGTTAGATTGGTGACGAATCGAATGATGGAAATAGCATATTCTTTTCGATAATTTAGAAATCGTTTGGATATACTACGTCTAACGTTGGCATTTTGAATTTTGAAAAAAATTTAATTTTTCAAAGGGTTTCATAGTTTTGTCCTGATGACACCAAAGACTTTGTTATCTTGCTCCTCGGGGATAAGGGTTGCCCATCTCAGGGATGATACACCCTATGGACAAGAGTAGAACTCAATGAGAAGGACGCCGCACCTGAGATAGAAGATGACACAACCGATGGAGAAGGATGAAGTACCTGAGGGTAGGAGGACGCTCATGAAATGAAGGAGGACACAGCTGATGGATGGCACACCTTGCCTGAAAAGGAAGGATGGAAAACGCGAAGGTGAACCTTGATAACCTTGAGGTCCTTGAACCTTGAAGACGAAGAATGGCGACGCACCTGAAATAGAAGGTTGGCACATCTGAGACAGAAAAATGACACACCTGAGATATAATGATACGATAGAAGGATGGCAAACCTGATAGAGAAGAATGGCAAATCTGAGGGATAAAGATGACACATCTGAATTACAAGGATAACACACCTAAGGTTAATTATTAATAAGAAATAAGGAGACAAAAAAACTATGTATATAAATTTATAATCCTAAGCATTGAACTCATTATAAATAAATTAAATAAATTAAATTAAATTAAATAAATTTATATACGTGAGAAAAGTATTTATTTAATCCTTAAAATTACTACATGTAATTTTATATGCTACAAAATATTGCATGCCCTTGACAGTACAAGAGATTGGGCTGCCTGTGCCTTAGCGCGACTTTACTGAGCCTGTGGTTCTGCAAACAAGGCATCCGACAGACTGTGACCTCATAAACATTCATAACATTCGAGTCTTCACTCAAAAATAGCAATGAAGTTTGAAAGCTTTTATATTCTACTGTGCTTTGTTACACCAGCAGGTAAGCTATTTGAAATCCATAACCGGTTTAAATAATTCGCCAGATATCGACGGGAGTAGTTGCTGTGATCATATGCAGTCTACGAAATGCACAATGAAAAGTTGAAAACGAGCGACGTAATACTTCCTGATACATAATTGTTTGATGAAATCACTGGGAATTTATACAAACTACTTAATATAACAATGTTAACTAGCGCTTTTTTTTCAACACCGAATTTCTATTGTTGACGAAGTCATGCCAAGTCGAAATATGTCGGTCGATGTGTACACGAAGAACCAAAGATGCATCGATGGAGGTTTATTTATATATGTCGTTTATAGATCGATTCGCATTGAAATAAAAAACTGAATATTTATTGAATTGAATAAATAAAAAACTGTCATAAAGGATTCCTTCTTGTAACGCTTAAAGAGGACATCTTTTGCAGAAATCGGGTGCCTATGGTAATGTTTAAGAAAATAATGACGCAAAAATTCTGTTCGGGTTATGTATACAGCGAGTTAATGGCATTATACATGTAGCGTGTCAGATTTTATTAATATTAATTTTGAATAGTTTTAATTCTTTGTTTGCCAAGGTTTTCGGTTCTTTAAAAGTCACGGATTATGATTTGTAGATTTTCATTATCTTTTAATTTCAAAGTTTAATTGATAGAACAGAACAGAGACTTTGCCAAAATGGCGGCCTAAAATTCGAATGAGTTAAAATTAAACTGATCACAGAAAAACCAACACCAGCACTGGAAAGAGCACCTTACCGACCCTACAAAGCTTCATTATGTTAGGTGTTTTATATGTCGAGGAAATTGTCGCTCAATTTAAAGACGGTTGTATGTCTGCTGGGGCATAGCGTATAAGGAACCCCAGGCATACAAACGTCTATTAATTTGCCRATTTTCAACTTAAGTTTTCTCGGCCGATATAAAACCTGAAATAAGGAATCTTTCTATAATTTATGATATAAAGTTGCTCTTTCCAGTGATGGTAATTATTTGAAAGCAAAACGGGTGTAATTGTGACATCTGTTTTTTTTATTTTTTATTTTTATTTATTTATTTTATTTATTTTTTCATGTTTCACAAAATGTTTCCCTACTAGCAGAGTCTCTCCTCTTTCTCTTCCTTCTTTTCGGTGGGGAGAAGGGAGACTGCCGATGTAGAAACATTCCTTTGATATACCGCCGTCCACGATCGTGCACAAACGAAACCAGTTTTAAAACATGTAGCACGCATAAGTAAACCAGCCAATCAATGGGCTAATTTTGGGTCACATGATGTTACTTGAAACCTGCTAAATCTATATTCCTTACTCCACCAAAACAAAAGAAGAATAGGCTCTGTCAGCAGAAAACAAACGGTTAGAACATCGCTCGTAATCACACTGCCGGAACTATGACGTAACGAACAAACATATGTTTGTGAAACGAACTTTAATTAAAGTATCGCAATCATCCTAAACATATCTAAGAACAGTGATTCGGCTTCTTTCTGGTCTGGTTCGTTTATTCTGCCCAATAATATACGTTACACACCGCCACTGACGTTTGAGTACTAATACTTCAATTCAGTTGAGCTATAGGAATATGAAGACTTGGTTGTTTAATGCTTGTTCGGCTCTATCAATGGTTTTGGGTTAGAGTGCACGCACCAAAACCGTGAACATTAAATAGTACTAATTAGTACTATTTCATACAGAATCCTTTGTTTTCTATTGTTTAATTATCACTATTTAGAGCTAAAAAGTAGTATTTGCTTCACGGCTTTAGTGTGAAAACTCTACAATGCAAATTATCTTGAAAGAGATTCAATCTCTTGTAAGCTAATTAGCATATTCTTTAAAGTTGCGCTAAGCTCGTCGTGCGACAAATTGGATAAATATACTGATAGTCAATTTCGTCTAATTGATGTTTGTTCTTCTTTCTCAGTTTCTTTTAGATTCACAAAATGGCCGAATAATCCACTGGTTGTGTATTACGGTAAAAACAGAACGAATGTCGAACTACGATGGGAGTGGAACCTTGAAGGAGGAATATTTAATTATTTAGATATCGAGAGATATAGAAAGGACAACCCCTTGGGCACAGAGACGCAAATCGCTAAGTACTATTCGAGTGGGACTACCAACGTAGAAGAAACCAAATACAGCCTCAGCGTTCAAAACAGGGCGATTGGATCTGTAGTTTTTACTATCAAAGACATAACCAATCAAGGCATAAATGAAGGCAAGGACAATAATGGCGAGAAGAGTCGTGTAGACGTCATGGAAGCGAATAAAGAGTATATATATTCGATCGAGGTGGACGAACAAACATCAGGCAAAGCGTTTACAAACAGCGTCACACTAAAAGTGCTAAGTAAGTATTTTAAACGAAAGCTATTTGTAGGTAACATATATAATGAAGGAAACACTTTTTTAAACACCAAGTAGCCTTTAAATAATGGCATCTTTTATATAAAGCGAACATTTTTTCACGTTCGATTCTACTGTTTCTCATTAAAGAAACTTAGCAATTGTTTTTTTCGCCACATATCAAGCTTTACTCTATGTGTTAGTGCACAGGCCGTCCAAGCTCTTGTCCTGTGGTGTTGTATTACAGCAAGCCGGTCATTTGAGCGTTGCTTATTATAAAATGCTTGCTTMTGCACTACGAACGTAAACAGAAGCCATCGGCTGATTGTTCGATAACAGGGAAAAGTTTATATTCAACTTTGCAAACGTGATCCTCGTGAATTTTGTTTGCCGAAACTGGACGCTGTCTACCCCGGTTGGGCAATGAAACAGGTAACCGTCATACAATTCGGGCGCAGAGCCTAAGTGGAAAGTCTGAATTGGTTACAAAGATCGGTCACAAAGACTGCAAAACAGGTGCCCTAGGGTAATCATGTGTTGTCCGAATGAGACTGGAAAGTCCGAAATAGCAATGAAATCACTGGGTTCTACTTCTCTAGCCAAGCGTAGATCTCAAGTTTAAGGCTGAGTTAATGTCCAAAGTCATCCATACCCTTGCACCAAACAGACTGATAGAAATATTTGAAGATTCACATGCAACCAAGTTTACTTACGAATTGCGTGACTCTTCAAATAAAGTTGCTATGCCATTAATTACCTAAAACTGATTTGTTTAAAAAAAGTTTAGTTTATAATGGTGCTAGCTGYATTATGGAATCCTCTACCTAGTGTTCTTCGAAATTGTCAATGTCCAGTCTATCTCCGCAACAAACTATTATCCCTCGGCATATGATATTATTATTTTTAAGTAGTGATTTTATTTATTATTATT